TTTGTATAACCCATCATTTGCATCTTCTTTATTTTGAAAAATGGATTTTTTTTTATCCTTTTGTTTTTTAATATGTCACTTTCATCCCTTCCAACTTCAACTTTGCAAAATATCATTTTTACCCTTTTATTTTCTAGATTTTCACTTTCACCCGTCTGCCTTCAACTTTGTTAAATATCACTTTTTATGCTTTCGTATTTTAGACTTTTGCGTTTATCCCCATCCCCGTAGTAATATATAATATGATTTTTAATCCTCGACTTTGTTAAATGTATTTTTCATCTATGTTCTTTTAAATGTTATTTTGATTTCCTCAACTTTAAATTTTGTAAAATATCATTGGTTTAATTAATCGTTACTCTTAATACGTAACAAAAAAACATAATTAACTTCTTTTTAATACTATACACATATCAAATTTTACGTAATATATTTTCTATAATTTAAATCAACATAGTTTTAACATTGTGCAGTACGTGGTGTATATATATATATATATATATATATATATATATATATATATATATATATATATATATATATATATATATATATATATATATATATATATATAAAAGTGGGAAAGTGAGATTTTTTTTTTTTTTTTTGACCAAATGTTTTTCAAAACCAACAGTACCATAGAACCATAATGTGCATATTTGTATTTTCCACAAATGTGCATATATCGACATTTATGGTTGTCAATTATTTATTTGTATTTTTTCGAGCTGTTTACTATACGAATGGGTTAGACGAAGCATTTAGGGCTGTGTGGTTTTGAAAAATTGTGCCCAAAAAAAGTTCTCAGTTTCTTGCGTAAATATTGATTCTCACAAAAACAAACGATACAAAAAAATTACTTGCAAAAGTGATATAATTTGCTAAACGCATCAACTAGAGAACATGTTTTTTTCTAAAATAAATATACTGTAAAATTATACAATGATGGCGACAAACGGAGGCGGGGCACCAAAATTTGATCGAAAACAACTAGACTTGTCCATGGGGTGAGTTTTGACCCTGATTCAATCCAAACCCGTAAAGAATTTACGGATTTGGATTTTAATTTTCGATTCGTTTACCTGTTTACGATCCATACCCATTTATCCTTTTAATAAATGGGTCGGGTATGGATCATTGTCGATCCGCTCCACTTATAACCTGCTCCATTTCACACACACACACACACACACATATATATATATATATATATATATATATATATATATATATATATATATATATTGTGACATCCCCAATTTCACGGCGAGAAAAGACCGATTTGTTTATGTTTTGTTTTATAAAATCAGAGTAATCATTTGATTAAAAGAATTGTGAAATTTGTTCCCAAAATAAAATATGATAAAATAAGATTTATCAAAACATTTATTAAAGAAATGTATTTTCATTAAATAACAAAATCTCAGAATGTCATGTTACGATACAGACCAAAAGCATAAACAATATAAAATAGACTTTACAACAGTTATTTATAACTACTGATCTATAATCCAAAATCTCTCGTCAAGTCCACCAACTTATACCCTTGTGCCATTACCTGTAATGCAAAAAAAAAAAAACTGAGTGAGTCAGGCTTGGGAGCCTGATGAACATATAGGGTTTTCAACCCACAATAATATAATTATTATATTTAATCATCAAACAATCAACCCAATTATCCATCCCCATTATCTTCACTATTTCTTAAGGTTTTAACCTAAGAATCAACTATCCTTTATTCATTAGTTCCTAAGGATTTACCCAAGGAATTAGCATGAAGCCCATTGCTGTCAAAGTTTATCTATCAGGTACTAAATCCATAGCTATCAAGCGCTAACTCCGTAGTCACCACGGTTTACTTAACATGCGCTAACTCCATAGTCACCAAGGTTCACTTTAACAGGCGCTAACTCCATAGTCACCAATGTTCACTTTAACAGGCGCTAACTCCATAGTCACCAAGGTTCACTTAACAGGCGCTAAATCCATAGTCACCAAGGTTCACTTAACAGGCTTGAAGTCACATCCTCTCCAGGGTTTATCTAATAGGCACTACGTCTCATAGTCACCAGGGTTTACTCATACCATCTCTCATCACACACCAACTATTCCGTCTACCCATGTTCTACCTAACATATTTGTAGATATAAATTATATATATAGTTTAAATCATATACAAACCAGTATAAAACATTCATCCAACATCCATATCAAATAAACAAACAATATATAAACACATAACACGTATTTCATAACAAATACTTCATATCTATACGTTAGAAGAAAGTAACTACACACTCACACCAAACATATATTTAATACATTCAAACAATACTTGTATTAAAATCGTGTTTATGAAAGGGACTATACACTCACTTGATCAAAAAATGATCGGACAGTACTACGACTCTAAGAGTAGTACTTCTTCGGTGAAACTAGAAGATCTTCACACACCGGGCTTCTCGTAGGCAGAGCTTCGGCACGAAAACTCTTTTTTTCTCGCGATCTTAGGGCTTCGGGACTTGCTTCATGTCTCGGGATGATACCGGGGCTTCGGGGGGTTAGAATAGGGCTTAGAGAGGGTATCTGGAGTGAGAGAGTAAGGGAGAAGAAACCAAAATCGGCTGCCCCTTGATTTTTATTTTTAGAGCTATTTTTATGGATTTACGTCGTGAATCTCAAATATTCACGTCGTGAGTTCAACAATCATCAGGTGCGTCATTGCAACTTGCGTCTGGCAGGCTCCAGAAGTCATAAATACTGAGTTCACGTCGTGAACACTGTATTCACGTCGTGAACTCTGACAGTTTTGGGGTTTCGCGCCCCGAACTTCAGAAATTCATAACTTTTGCATACGAACTCCGTTTTCGACGTTCTTTATATCCACGCGTAGGTAAGATTATGCTCTACAACTCTCGTTTCGACTTTATCGGCTAATTTTGACTTTATTTTTATTATACTTTTATTATATTATTTTTAGTAGGCCGGGACAGGAAAACTCCATTAGAAATCCATAACTTCTTCGTCTGACGTCCGTTTTCATCTGCCTTTTAACTGTTGGACTAATATCGATGAGATCTTTGATTCTCGTTTAGATCGTTTCTGCTGGAAATCACTCGATCTCATATTCGAACTTCGGGCTGCATACTGCTAATGCTGAAATTTTGAAAAATCATAACTTCCTCATACGAAGTCAGATTTAGACGTTCTTTTTATGCACGCTCTCGGTTTAACGTATTCTACGACTTTCATTTAGATCTCTAAGGCCAAATATCGGTCTAACGTAAATTCACTATTTACGTCGCGTTATGTCGTGCCGGTTCTTTCGCGAAATTTCGACAGGTCATAACTTCTTCGTTATAACTCGGATTTCGGCATTCTTTATATGTACGAAATCCTTGTTACATATACTACAACTTAGTTAAGATTAATCCTTCTAAATAATCTTCCATCAAAAAATCATTTTTGATACTTATTGTCCTTAAATTGACTAGCCCCAATCTACAGGCGTTATATATATATATATATATATATATATATATATATATATATATATATATATATATATATATAATGTTTTGTGTGATTTTTATTATATTGGACTTTGAGTATTAATTAATGTACATCTTGTTTAAGTTGGCATTCTATCTTTTTGAGAAATATTACTTTGTGGATCACATAAAAATTATGAAAAAATAATATTATAAAAGGGTCGAGTTAGTGGGTCGGGTATTCGTTGATTCGGTGAATATGTGTATGGATTCGACTATTCAAGACCCTGAGGGTTATTGGAACGTGACGGATCATGTTTTTATTTTTTTAACGGGCTTGGATCAAGGGTAATTCGCTCCAAACACACACATTGACAGGTCTAGAAACAACACTTATGTGTTGTTGTATAGAAACATAATCGTTTCGAGACCATAATCATGACCAACAATTCGAAAGAGACCAAAAACAGGATTACATATATTAGACAAGTACCAAAAGATATATGATCCTCCAAACCTTAAAATGACAAAAATAATTAGGTCATCTGGTATCGTCTTCACGACCACAATCTCCCTCCACCTCGAAATCAGCCACCACTAACCAACACAAGTCACTGAAATACTCTCGACTACCACTAACCATTCACATTCATCTTTGTCGATCATCGTCTACACCACAAAAACCACCACGACCGATCACGAACCACTGAGATGGTGTTCGCAGACTGTGGTCGTTGCCGATAAACCACAAATCCTTCCGTTGTAACCATACGTGATGGTCTTATTGTTGCAGACTTTCTAGAGATAATAAGTTAGATTTGGACCGTTGCCTATCATAAATCATATTTTCAAATGATCATTGGTGCTCACTAAAATTTATCGGTTTGCTCTATGTTATTCTCATGAACTTGCAATTATATTTTCACGAATAATATCATTATTTGATTAAGTTTAGAAAAATATGATTTTGTGGCAGTATTCTACCTCAACATATTGTGTTTTAGTGTATAACTTTTTGCAAATGGTTACCAACCTACCATCAGATGTTTAAAAAGTTAAAGTTTAGGAAGATCCAAGGTGCTCAATGTCCAGTTGTGACGTTGTCCACCGATTAAACCATGCAAGCAAACATGTATGATATCCCGACACGTGTCACAATCTGCTGGGCATCCTATCCGTGGTTTAATCTGAACCGTTGACTTACGGTGTAGAAAACTAGCATTAGGCAGGGGTCCAGTTCACAAAGATAAGGGGTTTGGTACATAAATAAATGTGTTTTAGTTTAATCAATTAATAATTAATTAGTTTTCATTTATTTTTAGCATCAACTTAATTCCTTTCTGTTACAAGTTCTCTTTTAAGTTTTAACTTCATCCATGGACCATGGCCACGATTTAGATTGAAAACTAGTTAACCAAATTCCTCTGTTTTTCGTCTACTAAATCTCGCCACACTTTTGTGCTTTCCTCACTGGAATTCATTTCTCATAAAACATGGCGACGTTTGATAATGAGAATATGGGAATCTGAAGTGGAAGATGTTAAAGTTTTATCAAAATCTGATCCCTTGCTCGGTGATCCACCGGTGTATACCATAACGCCAATCCCACAACGTCCACCGCCGCCGATGAAAGTTACGGTGTTCAAGGAGGAGCCAACGGAAAACGATTCAAAAGGTTCGACGCCGGTGTCAAAACAAATGTTGGTGGCGCAACCACGGAGGGCTTCTAAAGACCGCCACACGAAGGTGGAGGGCCGTGGCAGGAGAATCCGCATGCCAGCGGTGTGCGCTGCTAGAATCTTCCAGTTAACTCGGGAACTCGGTCACAAGTCAGACGGCGAGACGATTCGGTGGTTGTTGGAGCACTCGGAGGCGGCTATCATTGAAGCCACCGGAACGGGGACTGTTCCCGCAATTGCTGTTAATGTAAACGGGACGTTGAAAATTCCGACGACATCAAGTAACGGCAAGGATGGGGAAGATGGTAGGAAAAGACGGAAAAGATGCAGCGAGTTTTATGACGTGAATGATTCATCGTCATCCAATTTCGCCCCTGTGGCTCCGGTTGCCCCACAAGGACTTGTCCCCTTATGGACCAACGCCGGTATGCACGGCGGAGCTTTCTTCATGATCCCACAAAGCCTTCCCGGCGGAGGCGGAGCATCCTCTGCCCAGGTGTGGGCCATACCCACCGGTTTTAACATCGGAGCAAGACCCATTCCCAGTTATCTGTCAGCAATCCAAGCAGGCGGTGGTGGAGGTGGCGGTGGAGTTGAAACGCCGTCAGGATCCGTATCAAACAATAGTGAGAGTGAAGCTAAATCTGGGAAAGTTCTGACGAAATTGGCTCCGAGTTCAAGTTCAGTTACTACAAGTCAGATGATTAGGAATTTGTCTTTGAAGATTTACGAGAAAAGAGAGCTTCAATTGATGGTTGGTTCGTCAAATCCATCTTCTTGATCCAATTCGTTATCAATAATCATTTAGATTCTGAGTTGAATTAGAAGTAGAAAGTGTTTTGATGTATTGTGTTTATTATTTTGATTTTTTTTTTTTTTTTTTTAAAAAAAAAAATAAGGTAAGGGGTACGGGTGCGAGAGTTTAGAATCCTAGTGGCAGTGGGTCCCCGTTTAGGTTGTGTGGTCCATGAGATGTCGCGTGGATAAGTGGGGTTTGGAGACATGGTCATGGACCCTATTTATCCTTTTGGTTATGGGCCTATGGGGCATTGGGGGCTGCCATCAAAACCTTCAACAGAGGACACGTGTCATAGAATAAAAATAAAAACATTGTTAATTATTAACAAATAAAATAAAATGGTACTTCTTGTTGTGAATTTTAAATCACATCTAAAATTTTCCATCATACGATTTCCCATATAAAAATACAATGTAGTGTAGATAACAATAAACGGGTCTATAAATTTGAGTCCCGTGGTAGTATGTGTAAAATGACACCCATGTTGAATATGTTTTTGACAAAAATAAATATAAATCTTAATTTTAGTTTTCAACAAATAATATTAAAAGAAATATAAAGGATTATTTCGTATTATAGCTTGATATAAAAAATATGTTTCACATAATGGATAGAAATTTATAATAAAATATGAAATAGGTTTAGGTTTTACATGATATATAACAAAACTATCCATGAAATTTCCAGAATCAAAATCCGGCCCAAGTGTTGAAATAGCTACTTTATGGATCTGGAGTGGACTCTAGATGTTTATAAATACTCTTTTACATATATGTCTTATTTTGTGAAAAGGATTTTTTCACCGGGGCATATCATATAGCCTGGTATATGTTTAAAAAATTTGTTAGCTTTTTTTAGAAGACAATAAATAAAAGTATTTGTTTGTTTCTTTTTATAGAAAATGTAAAAATAGCTTCTAAAGTTGCAAAACAATTTTAACTCTTAAACATTCAAAGTTTGTCTTCCTTTTTTATTTTCTGTTGTTTAATTTTTCCGATTTGGGTTTTTTCATTTCTTGTTTTTTCCAATTTGTTTTTCTTTTTTAAATTGTTTTGTTTTAGATCGTCTCTTGTTCTTGGTTGACTTTGTTTTGAATTTGAATATGATTCTTATTGATTTTTGGAATCTAATGGTTTTCAAGAATAATAATGATGATGGTTGTAATGACCCTATTAAGGTTGTTGGCAAATGATGATTTCATTTTAATTTAGCTAATAAAAACTAACTTCAAAAAAAAAAAAAAAAAAGGGTTTGTTATGTTTTGGAACAGATACTTCAAACAAGAGAATGGTGCAGAAAATGACAATATTCATATCAATTATCAAAGATCATGTTGTACAAACCATCAATGTTAATCACCTCACCTCAATTGTATTCCAAACCACAGTTATACCATGATAAATAACCAACCTTTACACACATATTTCTCCAAAGTGTTTTAAGCAATAAGTCATCATGCAAAAACAACATCTGATCTCAAAACATACTTCACTCCTTTTGTAACATTTCTTGCTTCATGCAACATACACTTGGCTCCATGGATATGAAACAGTGCCATTCCTTCACTGGGACTTACCTAAAACACACACAACACAATTAATCAATCAAAACACAATAATCACAAAATAAACAATTTTTGTACAAAAGACATAAGAAGCAAAACTAACCTCTGCTACAAGGCTATTTCGTGGACCATAAAACACAGTTTCACCACCAACTAGAGGTTCAAAGAATTCATGTGATTGTGAATTGTTCACATCAGATTTAAGTTTGGACTCAACATCACCACTCAGATATATCAGCAAAGTGTAATGAGTGCGTTTTCCCTCTCCAAGGTCAACACTTTCATCAATATGTCGACCAAAACGTTGACCAGTCTTGTACCTGAGTCAACATATAGCATAATTAGCATTACATGGAACAACTATATTGTTAAACCAACAGGTGATAAGTTTGAACAAACCTGTAAAGTCTAATATTTGGGTTTAGCCCAACAGCAACTTTGCCTCGAATAGTGATATCAGAAAAGTGTTTGCTAAGACCAGATTCCCATAGTGTAGCAGCAAGAACAGGATCATTTACAGCAATGCGATCATTGTCTCTGTAAGCTTCACCTTTTGTGGGTCCAAGACTTCCTTGGTGGACGAACCCAATTGCTTCTGCTGTTTTTACAAATGCTTTTGATTCAGCAGCTGTTAGGAAATTCTGCACCTGAGAATCTTAAACGAAAGAGGAACCACTTAGAGCATACAATATCCAGGAGGTATTTAACGATTCCTAACTTTAATTATGATTCTGCAAGAAGCATTAATCACTTTATTAATGGACATCCGGGTTCATCATCAATTGAATCGCATGATATTTGATGCATCTAATACTCGTCAGCGCAATTAAAACCCTAAAATGAAGTACTTTGAGTTCATAACTTCAATTTGGCTCATGTCGATAGCAGATTTCAATAGACATTTAATATGTCCATGTGGTATGAGAAGAACCGGTTACTCTTATATGATCGGTTACAATTCTTGTGAAGATTCGACTAAAACAACAAGTCCGGAGGATCCAGAAGAGTCTAAAATGATATTAGGGTTTTAGACGAAAAAGCACAATTGAAACTTAATTGCACCACACACTAATCAGATCGAACCAATATAAATGGGAAAAAGAGTAAACTTAAACCGACTATAAACCCAGAAATTGGTTGGGGAAGAAATACATAGGTAAACATACAGTAAATAGATCGTAATCCTTTAGGCGAGAAACACGGAGATTGGATTTAGGCTTGATGAGTGGCCAATTCGACTCCGTCTTCTTCGATTTCTTCGCATTTCCTCCGTCTTTCTTTCGATCCCCCATCCTTCTCTTCATGAATGTCACTCCTCTTCGTCAGATTTCATGGTCTATAAACTACAAAATTGTTAGATGGTTTTGGGTTGTTTGGCTTAGCTTAGCTTTTCATTAGAAAAAAAGTTTTTTTTGAAAAAGTCCTAAAAATTTATGTTTTTGTGATTTTTTCTAAAAGTTAATTTTTATCTGTATCCAAATTCAAAAGTAACTTTTAAAATATAATTATCAAACATCTTTTGATTTCTATATTTTTTTAAAAGGTTTTTGCTTCTAAAAAGCTAAGTCAAACACCCCATTGGTACAAAATGTTTTGGAATTGCATCACTAGTCAAAAAAAGAATTTTATTGCAGGTTTGGTTCAAATGTTTTTGAAAAAACTTGATTTACCTTTCATATTTTGTTTTTTTATATTTATTTTATTACATAAATTTAAAAAAAAAACAAAAAGAAAATACCATCCACTCTCTCTCTCTCTCTTTCTTACCAAGAAGAAATTTATCAAGCTCTACCTTCTTTTCTTAATCTTTTCCAGTTACTCAATGCTCAAACTCATCAATCTTGTTTTCAAACCTAACTCTTCTTTTCTTAATCTTTTCCAGTTACCCAATGCTCAAACTCATCAATCTTGTTTTCAAACCTAACTCACATTGATCAAAACTTGTATGATCTGTTACCTCCATCTACAGCCTCCGTTCTTCAGAAAATTGCTTTATTCTCTGCACACATTGAAAAATTAAAAAAAATAAATAAAAAAAAAAAAAAAAAACATACACTCACACACAGTGAAGAACAGTGCAAACCTGTATCAAACCTCCATCTACAACCTCCGTTCTTATGAAAATTGCTTCATTCTCTACACACATTGAAAAATTAAAAAACATACACTCACACACAGTGAAGAACAGTGCAAACCTGTATCAAACCTCCATCTACAACCTCCGTTCTTAAGAAAATTGTTTCATTCTCTACACACATTGAAAAATTAAAAAACATACACTCACATAGTAAAGAACAGTGCAAACATGTATCAAACCTCCATCTACAGCCTCCGTTCTTAAGAAAAATGCTTCATTCTCTACACACATTGAAAAATTAAAAAACGTACACTCACACACGATGAAGAACAGTGCAAACATGTATCAAACCTCCATCTACAACCTCCGTTTTTAAGAAAATTGCTTCATTCTCTACACACATTGAAAAATTAAAAAACATACACTCACACAAAGTGAAGAACAGTGCAAACCTGTATCAAACCTCCATCTACAGCCTCCGTTCTTCAAAAAATTGCTTCATTCTCTACACACCTTTAAAAATGAAAAAAACATACACTCACACACAGTGAAGAACAGTGTAAACCCATTTAAAATTGGAATCCTTCTCTTGGATGGTTTTCCCTCAACTAGTGTGCTTCACGAACCAAATCCCACTGTCACCCCTTCTGAATCCCTCTGTTTCAACTAAGAAATTAAAAATAGAGAGCTTATATTTGGATATGAAACATATGCTGAGATTTTCAAGAACTATCGATTTTTGAAAAATGGAGGAGGCGATTTTCACTGGATGGATCAAAACTTCAACCCAACTGGATGATCAATCAAAAAGCTCTCCATTTTTCACTGGATAGATCAAAACTTTAACCAAAAAGTCAATGAAAAGAAACATCTAATTAATTTTCTCTATAGAAATATCCTCAAAAACCTAGATCTCGTTCCAGCTGGATATTTATGTTGTTTTTTACCTCCATAGAGATGAGACGCGTAGATCATCCATAGAGAAGAGGTTTCGATGATGGTGGTGTTTTTTCTGATAAATGCTTACTTTTTAATTTATGAAATAAAAGAAAAATAAGAAAACAAAATATGAAGGGTAAATCAGTCATTTTAAGTTTTTCCAAAAACATTTGGACCAAACCTGCAATAAAATTCACTTTTTGGACTAGTGGTGCAACTCCAAAACATTTTGTACCAAACATCCAGTTTTTGACATATCAGAGGGACCAAACTTGGAATTTTGTTGTTTATAAATCTACGATACCAGGTCCGGCCAAATAAAACTCATCATGTTTGAATCAAATAAAGGGACTAAAATAAATTATCTTTTTATTTATAAGAGTTTACTACAGTTGTTTTTTTACTATGTTTTTTACCCGGTAGTTAAGACTTTACTATAAAAAAATAAAATTTAGGACTTTTTATCAAATAGTTGAAAATATTGGAACTTTAATGTATATTTTTGGTTTCCCTAAAAACAAATATAGCTTCATAAGACCCAATTTGTAGCCTAAGAATTTTTAATTGTGATTTCTTTGCCTCGTCACTATTTTTCTTACTATCATAATCTTTACCCTACTACAATCACAATCAGGAGAAACCTGCAAAACCCACGCCACCATCTTCTGTTTTTCTAGATTAAAGACTACCAACAACTCAAACTCAATAATGGGGTCGTGGTTTCTCAAGGACCTACAAGAGGAGGGAGGTGAGCTTCAAAGGTCTTGGTCTAATGGTCTTGGAGATTGATGCAAAAGAGAGAAAGTTAGAGAGAGTGAGAAGACTTGTAAAACTTTCTTCTTGGTTCGTCGTCAAAAAGGGGCAGATTGTATAAAACACAAACAATATAGGCCTAATCAAAAGGGTGTGAATATGTAGAAGGGTAAGAATGGCAGTTTCGACTTCTTAGTTCTCCATTTTTAGGACTGTAAAAAAGCCAACATAATATTAGTTTTTTCCTTTCTTGATTATCTCCATTTTTTTTTTCAATGTCGGGTTGTTGAGATTAAAAAAACTAATTAACAAGAAGCAAATGTTAAGGATTTCAATATGGTATAATTGACTTGAGCAGTTTCCAATAACTCTTATGCTTAAAAAATATCACACCATTCAACTTGTAACCAAAAAAGGATATATACACTAAAGTACCAATATTTTCAACGATAGGACAAAAAAATCTTATAAACTTTATTTTTTTTGACATTAAAGTCTTAGCTATCGGCTTACCGGAAAAAAGGGTAAGTGTGTCCAAAATAATTTGTTGTTAAGATTTTATTGTCAAAAAAATAAAGTTAAGTTTTTTCGTCATATCGTTGAAAATATCGAGACTTTAGTATATATATCCCATTAATAAATAAATAAAATAAAAAGAAAATATATGGAAATAAAAAGAAAATAAAAGAAATTTATGGTCCTGTGTTTCATTAAAAACAAAATGGAAAGAGATTGAAAGAAACTGAAATAAAAACTCTCTTTTAATTTCCCTTCTAAATTGGAAGGATTTAAAAGAAATAAATAAAATGTTTAATTTTCTTTTTAGTTATCGCCAACTCGGGAGATTAAATATTGATAGGTTACTTGAGGGAATCAAAATATAAAGACAAGAAGCACATGCATAAATCGTAGAACATCCATCGTTGAAAAATTAGGCACTACTTGTAATACAAGAAACTGAGTGGGTTAGGCCTAGAAGTCTGGTGATCACATAGGGTTTTCAACCCATAATAATTAAATTCTTTTTTTAATCAAATCATTCGACCCGATTACTCATTCTCGTTATCCTCACTTTCAATCCCTAAAGCATCTAATTAAAGGGATCTTAAGGATTATCTTCGGGAAAGACAATATTGATTAGGGAATTCCTCAACAATATATGTCAGTAAGGTAACAATGAGGGGGATGGAATACAACTGGTGAACACTTAGTTCAAAAACACCTACAGGTTGCGAGCATGCTAGCGTTCCACTGCACTGTCTAAGAATAGTTTGTGGTCGTCATCTATACTCCGTTAGACGAGTGGATCATCTTTAAGTCAAGGCCTCTTATCATTTATCTCATTTTTCATCTTCCATCATCTGGATCATCTTTCATCTACCTATCTTTACCTAACATACTTATAGGTATAAATACATATACAGTTTAAATCAAGTAAAACATGTATAAATCGTTCATCCAACATAGACATCAGGAACACAGATAATAGACACATATGACTTGTAATTTATATTAAATACTTCATATATGTTTGTAATATGAAAGTAACTATGCACTCACTTGTTAAAGTGATGACTCGAAATTCGGATAGTGATTCGTTTCTATCAACTGTCTTTTCCTTTGACGCAACCAAGTATCATTATCACTAAGTCTTAGTCTAATATTTATTGAGACTACTTATTAGTCTAGTTTCATCATTAATTCAAGAGCTACTTCAATATCTATCAGGTAAGGATCAGCCGGGCGGGACAGTTGGGAGGCAGGATCATTTCGGCGTATAACCTTTCTGAAATCTAACAACCAAGTCAACGTGACCATTCTAGACACCTCTCCCGTAAGTAGATCAATTAGTATAATGACTTGGAATCACTGATAAATCTTGTTTATAGGTCCATATTGATGATGATGGCCCTAAACATAAGTTTTACTTAAAGTATGGTAAGCATAACTCGACTTACATGTGGTTCAGCAAGAAACCAAACTCTACGCGGGCAGAACTTCTAAACCAAAAGCTCTATTTCTCTGGGATTTTTGGAGCTTCGGAGCTTCGCTACTAACACATAGGAAGTTCTAGAGAAAAGCTTAGAGGCCTTTGGGGGGGGGGGGGATTAGAATGGAATGGTGTGAGGAAAAGAGTGAAAATCAAGTTCGATTTATGGGTTGGTCAGTGCCCAGTACACAGAGCATACTCAAAACCTACGATGGGCGTACTAAGGGCCAGGTGTCACCATCAGATTGTAGGCCTTGGGGAGCAAGGGGTGTGCGAGATCGCGACACGTGTCACACCGACGTTAATCCGAAAATTAATTATCTTGAAAAATTCATAACTTTCACATACGAGCTCCGTTTTTTATATTATTTATATCAAAACGTAGATATCGACAATATCTAAAACTTTCATTAAGACTCCATCGGCTAATTTTGACTTTATTTTTAAACTTATATTTTAACAGGCTTAGACATTTAAAGTACGTAAAAATTCATAACTTTTTGTCATATGACGTCCGTTTTCGACTGTCTTTATATCGTTGAGCTCTTATTAACAATATATTCAATTCTTATTTAGATTGTGTCGGCTGGTAATCGATTGATCTAAAATTCGATTTCCAAGTTATACATTGTTACGCTGAATCTTTGAAAAAATCATAACTT